TCAAGACGGCAGCTAGGTTTAGTTTTAGTTTCTAGGGTTTTCACTAAACCCCCTTTAGTTTCTAGGGTTTTCACTAAACCCCCCAAGACATCTTATAATAATACCTAAAAATTATGCTAATAAGTATTATTTGTAGAAAACTCTATTCATAAACTCTTAATTACAAACTAATATATTTCAATTCAAATATATCTATTGTATTCATCACTAATAAAAAAAAAATAGGATTATTATATACTATCCCTCTTAACAGAAGTTTTGTCCTCAAAACTTTGATATACCTGACTCTTCAAATAAATTAGGATATTTTTCCTTCATCTCATCTTCGTGCTCATAGGTTGCTTCTTCAGTTGAATGATTTTTTCCATAAAACCTTCACTAGGTTAACAATCCTTGACCTAGTGAAATTCCTTTTTGCAATCAGCTCTCTTGCAGAGTTCTAAACTCGTCTAGAGTTCTAAACTTACTTTACAAGTTCTTCCAAGACGTTAAGTCAAGAAGCAAAGACGAAATTCCACGAAGCGAAGTATTCGGATCGTCAACGGGATACAGGAATTAAACTCCCATCGACACCGCGAAGAGCCCAGCATTAAACAAAGGGAAATATCCCCATCGATTCTTCTCTCCTTTGTAAATCGAAAAACCGATAAGAAAGTTGCAACTTTTTTCCTAAGTCAGTTAGAGAGAGATTACTTTGAGAGATTGTAATTACTCTTTTCCTAAGTCAGTTAGAGAAATTAATATTAATTTATTTCTCAAATTTCTTGCAATTTTTCCTGCAAACAACGTCTACAGGCAAGAACAGTAAAGAACTTCATCAATCACAAAAGAGAAGATTATAAAAGTGGTCACTCTTTAGTCTCTCTCCAAACTCACACAAAGAAGAGAACACTCAAAGAAAACTCTTTTTTCTCTTCAACTCGCTCTTTCTTCTCTCTGTTCTGAATGCATTTACCTCTCATCTTCATTGGTATTTATAGCTTCATAAAAGAATTGGTGAAATAATAAAGGGTTGGTGGAATAGTGAGAGGGGGTAGGTGAAACGGTAATAGGGTTGGTGAGTTTTGAATTCATGTTCAAAGTCAATAATTACAGAAGAGAGTATATGGAATGAACAAGAGACCATTTAGGATTGATAAGGCACTTAATAGTCCGTTTTCAATCACAAGTATATATATTGATTGTGTGAAAGTTCACACAAAGGATAATCCGGCGGATATGCTCACTAAGGTGATTCCGAGCAACAAGTTTGATCATTATCGAAACTTGTTGCATATTCGTGATTGTTGAGGCCGTTGACGGCCATTTGGATGAACTACGGGCGGCTTGATTCCTTGGGAGAGGGGGTACGTAGGCAACCACATTGGTACAGCCGAGTTTAGAGAGACGACACATTGGTGCTCATGTTGGTGTCGGCTCAGTGTTGGGAACACTTCGCC